TAAAATAATAAATAAATAAATAAATAAACAAATAAATAAATAAATAAATGCTTCTTTTAGAGTTGAAATGATGAGAACAAACTCAAAATACAATTTTAGGAAAAGAATCAAGCTAAAGAGAACCAAAGTGAGCTTCTGAACCCAAGCATGTGTTCTATTATTACTGCAGAGAATTATGGGTAGTCTGTACCTCACAACAACAACATGAAGCACTTTCTTGAACAAGCCTGTGGTGTGGTTTGTTATTCTTGCAGCATAGTCAACCACAGCAGCAGAAGAAATAGAAATTCCTTTAATCTTTTTACAATGAGAGTCTCAAACCTCCACATCTGAAGCATAGAGATATAGATTATCGTTGCTCCAGTAACTCATACTGCTGCACAAACTGCTAGGGATTTACAGATATTGTACAGCATCAGGCACAAGTTACAAAGGCTACGTTCATAATGCAGGGCCTAATGCTCAATTCAGATTTTTTTTTTTTTGCAAAAATCTGATATCGTTGCGTGGACATTCATGTTCTATTTTAAATGCGACCTCCGTCCTCTCCAAGGCACCGATGCGACCTGCATGTGCAGAAAACGACGTGACAGCACACTGTGTTTAAAGAAGTAAACATGGAGGCTACTTGTTAGCATGTTGATTCTGAACTTGTGCAATCAGAGCCAATAAATTTTTTTTTATCTGACCTGCTGGTTTAGTTCAATGTTTACATTTGAACTTGCCTCTGCTTAGCTGCTCCGGTGCAGCATTTTTATTTCTGGAATAGAAGTGATGTGCTGAAACTGAGGTATTGATTTATCAAGTTTTGTTTCGATACGGTCCAAAACAAACGGTTACTATCGTATATTTTCTGTGCATTCTCAATCATCCAGGACATAGAAAATTAAAAGAAAAAGAGCAACTAGACTTCTAGCTGAAGATGCGTGAAGTTGTGAAATTTAAACTGCATGACCCGAGGTTAGTAAAAACATTATTACTTTGATCAATCTGCTCACCCCCACCTCACTGAAGTAAAAGTCTGATAAAATGAGGCATGGGGGGGTTCTGACTGCTGTCACTTTGAAAAACAGATATGTACCAGATTCAGTACCATATACTGAGAAGGCCCGGGTCAGATTTGAAAATAACTGGATCTGTCATGTTCAAACTGTCCAAAATAAAATAAAATAAAAGTAAAATCTGATGGGTTTCATTTGCCTGCAGTGTGAGCGTAGCCTAAGTGACAGAAATGTGGCTAAAAAGGAAATTAAAAATGCACACCAAGTTTTGGGACTCAGAAAAATAAAACCGTTTGGCCAAGAGCAGCCAGTGGAGGGGCTTTTTTATTGCTTTTATAACTTTTATTTATTTATGTTTTCCTTTATTTAACAAAGGAAATCCCAGCCAGATCATAAATCTATTTTACAAGGAAGTCCTAAGCCTGAAGGCAACCTAACATGCATGTTTCTTTAAACTTAATCTGATAATATCAACTTTAATTCACTATTATCCTTGAAATACTCCTTTTACATTGGTCTTAAATTCTCGACTATCTTGAAACGTGGAAGACAATTCCTGTCTTTCCTTGAAGGAAAAACATGAAAACTTTTGTTGATTTTTTTTTTATTTCCAAGAATTTTCTTTCTGAATGTACATCCTGTCAGTTTATTTTCTGATCGTGTTTGTTGTGCGGTTAGATCACATTAAATTTCCAATGAACAGGACACACAAGAGACTCGTATTCTTAGAAACATTAACAGAATTAATGAGTGTGCAGAGCTCGTTGGGTTTTCCCACTGTCTCAATTTACTGTGTGGAAACTTTCAGGGTTAACCAAACACTTGTTGACTTCCCTTCAAGTCTAACAACTTGACGCACTCAGACTGGTGCAGAATTATATCCACCTGAAAGGTAAAAGAGTGGACGTACAAATACGATAAGGGTAAATGCACGTGAAATATCAAAACGAAGCGTAACGCACGAGCCAACACAAAGAGCCAACACAGGTAAGCTACTCACCGAACGGTTCCTTACACGCCATTAAACTGCTCATGTTTGAAGCAGGGACTTCTCCCGTTCGGAGAAGCTGTTCGAGGATGAATTTAAACGTCTCGTCTCGTTTCGTCTCAGAGAGCAAGTCTAAAAAAAACCTCTGCGTTATCCTCCGGTGCGAACCGGGAGAAATTAGAGCGCGTGCCAGCCCAGCGGCGGCGTCGTCGTCTCACGCCGAATGATGCGATGCTCCTCAGAGGGGGACCGGTGTTACTGCGAGTGCTGCTGCCTTCACGCTTCCTCTGGAATTTACAGCTTCGTTTTGAAGGCGGGACGAACCCGTGTTTCCAGTGCAAGGCTGCGATTACGTGTTGCGTTCATAGAAAAAAAATATTTAAATAAAAAAACTTAACTAAAAATAATTTAAAGACAGTGACGACAAACAAACAGGAAGGTTTGATGAAGGCGAACAAGATAGTTTCGTCTTTTCCTTTAAACTAGGAATAAGGATCATATGGTTTTTTTTTTAAATTRCAAATGTATTTTTAAAAATGAAAATTAAACGACCAAACAGACTTTGTGCTATTCCAGCATTTCAAATGCGTTCAGGAGATGAGTACTAGCACTTGAATATGTTATTTTTATACTTTATTTGCATGTACATTCCTCATTGGAC